TAGTTTCGAATCGCAATCGTGAAAATACAAAAATTTTTCTTCCGGACTAATTTTTTAGACTTTTCAAAGATTATTTCACTATTTTCGGACAAAGACTGAGACTAAATTCTCGTCCTGACTCATAACTTTTGATTTGTTGGAAATACTCTCTAGCGGATCAACAAATTTTCCGATCATCTATTTATTCAATAGTTGATTATTTACCGTCCACGACTATCGAAATATATTGTCATAGGTAAATTGAGTAAATCAGCTAAGCCTAATAAAAACTAAAAGAAAAATTTTATTTTGTTTTTATTGTAATTGAATAAAAATAATTTACTTTAAATTCTCGTAGACAAAATGTAATATCTGATTTATATTGTATATCATAACTAATAAATTCTCTTGGTTCACAAACAACTTGAAAATTCATACCATAAACAATACTTTCATCTAGATATAAAAAAAAGAAATTCTTTGAATGATCTTTTTTTTTTGTTTTTTAATTTTACTAACCATCATGAACAATTTCATCACATTTTTTAATAATAAATTGATCTTTTGTTGCACGAATTGTTATTTCATCCCATTTAGCTGGAAAATGAGCTGTTAAATCTTGTAATGTTTTACTCATAATTGATACACAATTTTTATATGATTGTTTATCAAAACGTGCTTGAAGTTTTTCACAATCAATATAAAAACATGAATGAATTTTAATAATATCTATCAATTATTATTTAAAATAAAAATCTCTAGTTTTTTGATTTAAAATAAATTTACTATATCGACAATGAAGTATAAATGATAAATTAGATTTTCGATCATCAAAAACAAGTTCAAGTCGTGTTAATTTACTTGATAAAACAGCATGTACTGCAGACATACATCGCTAAATAGAAAAATAAATATATTTTAATATCATCTACATACAACAAAACAAATAATTGGTACAGTTTTTTCATGAATCTCAAGTATGAAATTGATTAAAATTTGCAAACATAGAAGTAGTAATGAGTTGTAAATAGAAATTACGGGAGTAAGTTTTTGAACTTCCACCTCCGATGGTTTCGACCCGGCAACAGTAATTACTATTTCAGTGTTCTCAATCTATGGAAAACTATTACAGAATTTATTCTTATCACATCTTTAAAAATCTTTAAATAGTCGTTTTTTTGATTTATTTAGTCAATGACTAGCATTTTTATCTCATCTCTTTTGAATACGCTTTAGCTCGTAGGATTAGACATGAGCGAAACCATCTTGCCCATATCTAGGTATGATATATAAGATAATTCATTTAAAACTATAGAATATTTAACTATAATCTTTAACCCGAAGTCAGACAACTTTTTCTCATATTCAGAGTTCTGATCTTCGTTTGTAAGTCAATTCGAAGTTGTATCGGTTTATCTTTCGAGAAAAAAATTAATTCTTCAAAGGAGGAACGATCGGTTCTATCATTCTTTGTAGATCCACTATTGTATAAAAGTCATTATCACGAATGCAAGAATCTATCGATGAATGCTAAAGCAAATCAAATCAATTTTATTTCAATATTCTATTTTTGTCAGTTGCAATAACAAGTATGATTACTATTAGCTGACGTCGAGATGAATGCGCAGCGTCAGTTTACTGACCACTGAGCTACGAGGAGATCTCTTTAAATGTTCCCTTCTGATTTCAACGACTTTTTTACCTATAGACACTGCATAGTGTTCGAATAAAAGTCCTAAAATGATTGAGATTTGACTAAGCTATCGAAGTTTTAATATGTGTATTTTCTGGACCCTACGGTTTCGGAGAACTCGTATTTTCGAATTTTGCTCTGAAACTTTGATAGAATTGTTGCAGCTAACGCGAATGCCAATGTAATCAGTGTCAGTCAGTCACTGTCGATATTTCTGTATCGACGCCAACACTACGCATCATTCAGTTGATGTTATGAAATGCAAAGATGGCATCGTTTTGTATTTTGTTGGAAGCGACTCGATTCTATCTCTAATAGAATGCTTCTCGTATCATTAGAAAGATGCTTCAACTGAAATTTCTTAAATAGACATGACTGAATAGAATTTATACTTTCGCAGAAATTCGACATTTAATTTTTTCTTTTTGTAAATCATCTTGTGGCCATTCTTGAAAAAAATCTCGATAGAATGTAATACATGAATATGATGATCGTGATTGATTTGCTGTACGAAAACTTAACTAAATAAATCGAAAAAAAAAAAATAAATTCAAGAAAATTCTTCATGTAAAATATCATATTCTATTTACACCATTCGTTTTTGTAATTAATTCAATATATATTTCTTCACCAAGTTTTGTTAAAACTTGTAAAGCTTTACCAAAATCTATTCGTATGAAAAACTTTGTAATATTAAATATGATTCAATCAATTCTCTTACGTCGAACATGTTCCGGTGGAATAACAAAAATAAATTTTTTTTCTGTCATTATCTTAAAATAAAAATGAATTTTTTTTCTTTTATATTTTATTTGTTGTTTTACACATAATCATTATAGAAAAAAAAAAACTAGCAAGAATTACAGAAGACAAAAAAAAAAAAAAGAAAAATAATTAGATGAATCATCATTGATTTTTCAAGCAAGTGTTGATGATTCTTGACGACGTTTAGCAACATAGATACGATGATTTGCACATGCAATACAATAGACATATTGATCATCAGAAACTAAAATAAAGAATTTCAAAGAAGAATTATGAAACTATCGAGTATACACGGCATGCGATAAAAAAAATTCTTCTTGTACATTCAACGCATCGATGTCTGAAGCCACGAACAACAAAATTTTATTGTCCAATATCCTTTCTTTGAAAAGTTAGTCAATACAGACTTTTTCCCATTATCATATCTTTATGGAAATAAACTACATAAAATATCCTGTAAAAATTTGTATTCATTTTCGGTTTAATAAACGATTGAAATTTTTTGTTTATGACTTCTACTAATAAATAAATAATTAAAAATCAAAAAAATTAAGTTATTTCAATATAATATAGTGTTGACCGACTTAAGTTTTATAAAACGAATATGAATGAAAAATAGGACTTGTGATGAGTCTAAAATATCCATTTGATAACAATTCATCTCCTATTGGAATTCAAAATCAAAGATTTCCAAGTTAAATCTTATATATGGGCAAAATCATTTGTTAGCGACGTGACTTCGGAAAATTAAAATATGTGTATCTCGAGATAATGAGCTCTCTTAGATCTGATTTTTTATATGTTGTATGGACATTAAGTTACTCTAGATACCCTAAAAAAATTAGCGCTATGGAGCTTTGTCTACAGGAGTTACTGGCAAAAAAACAACCGTTAGCGACGTGACTCAAAAAAGGACATCGATTTCCACTTCGTGTATTTTAGTTTTTAATAACTCCCAATTCATGCACAATTTTAGAAAACTAAATAGGGCATTTCGTAGACGACTTCTAAGGCTATAAAGTTTATAGCCAAAATTTTTCTGAGTATGTCTAGATTTTTCAAAAAAACCGATTTATTTGTCGTTAGCGACGTGACACAGTACGACTACACAATCGAGATGATACTCTTGTAACCAACTGAAAAGTTCAAAATCGACTTCAAACGTTACAAATCATTACTCAGAATCCCTAGATGATGATAAGAGAAAAGCTTTCGCTTCTTCACTTTTCAGGGTCTCTGAAAAACCGATTTTTCGGAAGAAACTTTTCGGAGTCCAATCTTGCTAAAAATTTTACCATAGGTACAGCTTGTGCCCTAGACCCTATCCTAAAGTTTTCAGATTTTTTTCTCATATGGTTAGCGAGATATTTGCTAATTACTTTTTAATTAATTAATTTTAATTAATAACCACGTGAAAGACCAAACATTTTCACATAAGCCTATGCCAAAAGAATTTATTCAAAAAATTCACTCGTATAGAGAATCAGTCTCAAATGAAAGGTGCAAATGTCCTATTCTGCCTGATTTTGCCGATATATCTATGAAACATTTTATTCTCTACAAAATGGTGAAAAATAAATAAAAATTAATAATGATATCTTCAAGGCAAAACAGAGCTCACATCTTTCTCTTACATAATGATTTTTCAATATAAAAAAAAAACACTTTCAGCAATTTTCATTGTCATGACACAATTGTAAAGCGAAATCAGCGATCAAAGCTGAATTAAATACATTTTAGAGAATTTTTCTTCTGTGCAAAACTAACTCTGACGAACTGTGAAGCAATATTTTAATAAAATGCATCCGCAGGGAACTACAGGTGAATTTTTCTCAGGAAAAAAAGTCCTCTAAAATATATTTGGTTCAACGTAGTTTTCGTCACTGATTTCGAATGTCGTATTTATTTTGCTTTACAATTATATCATGGCAATCAAAACTGCTAAAAATGTGTGTTTTTTTTTATTGCAAAATCATTATGTAAAAGAGAGGTGCCAGCTGGAGCCCGCCGGTTTGGTACCGAACCCGGTTCCGGTCGTGCCCGGGTCCAAAAATTTATTGTTGACTGGGTCCAGGTCTAAAAAATGTTCAATAGATCGGATCCGAGTCCAAAATTTTTGAACCCGACGGGCTCTAGTGCCAGCTTCATTTTATTCTGAAGGTCTAAGAGAAAAGGATATTGGATGATGAAATTTTGGGCTTGGTGTTTTCAGATATCAATTATTTCATGATTACTCTCGTAAAATTTTTTTTTTTTTTAATTAAACCTGTAAATCGTTTAAATGCTAATTGTCTTGTTGGGTGTACGCTAACTTTAGCTGCACATAAAACCATTTTATAAATAAGATTGGCAGCTTGTTCATTATTTTGTAAATCACCATGACTATGTTCAACTGAACCATCTTCATTCATAATAAGATATCCAACACAATCAGGAACATTATCAAATACTTTATTTATTGATGAACTCATCTAAAATGATAGAAAATAACAACAAAAGAAAAAAGAAAACAAATTATTAAATAAATTTTTGGTTCTATTCTATTGCTATTTAACAATAAAAATTATAATGTCATCCAATTACGAATATGATTATTTGGATGATTATTACTTGATAATAACCATTGTTTATTATAATCTGGATTCATAAGACCAAGTAAACCACCTGTATGTAAAAATAAAATACTTTTTCCATCATTTGGAAATCGATCAGTATGTTTATTTCGTAATTCTTCACATAAACCCCATAAACATTTACCTGAATAAACAGGATCAAAAAGTATTCCTGTTTCACTTATAATATTATGTAAAAAATCTATTTGTTCATTTGTCATACGACCATAACCTAAACCAACATATGAATCACAAATATCAACAAGACTATCATTATCAACTAATTGAATTAAATTTTCAAGTTCTAATTGACTAAGAATTGTATTAAAATGAGTTTTAAAATAATTTTGATTATCCGATACAGCAAATGCATGAATACGTAAACGATTACCAGTAAAATAATTTGCTAGAGAAAGTCCTTCCATTGTACCACCACTACTTACTGGTACAACAAGATGACCAAGATTAAGTTTATCAATTAATGGAATTATTTCACGTATAAAACAATCGAAATATCCAAATATTCCAACTATATCTGATCTAAATACAAATGTAATATATATATATAATAAAATACAATAAAAATATTTACCCTCCTATTGGTATTAAATAACATTTATCTTTACCACCTAATTCTTCTTCTAATTGTTTCATTCTTGGTTCAATATCACGTTGAATATTAGCTTTTTTTGGTATCAAATATAATTTAGTACCTAATAAATAATTTAAAAGTACATTGCCTTGTAAAATATTTTCATCTTCATTATCACGATCAGTTCGAAGTAGAACATGAGCTTGTCGTTGAAATCGTGCAGCAAGTACAGATACAGCTTTACAATGATTACTATGTAATGATCCAGCTGTTATTATATGATGACATTCTGGACGTGAAAGTATATCAGCAAAAAGAAATTCAAGTTTTCGAAGTTTATTTCCACATGAATATGAATCAAGTTGATCATCACGTTTAATATAAATATTAACTGATGATAATGAAGATAAACGTAATTTTTCAACAGGTGTTTCATGATCGATTAATGATAATCGATATTTAGGTATAAATTTTGAATTAATATGTTTATCATCAATTGGTAATGAATATGTTTTAAGAAGAGATGATACAGATAATGTTGATAATTGACGATACATATACAAATAAAAAAAAACTAATAAATCTAAAAATAAAGATTTAATTTGCATAATCATTTATCAGTATCCAAAAAAAAAAACAATAATCGTTTATGCTAAACTCTTGAGAGAATATATGATTCCCTCATGTAATTTATTCAATACGAACAATATCAAACACTTTTCTTACCCTATCGATTTGATCTTAAGTACTATTAGAAATGAACAAGAAGGTTAATGCACAGTCAGAGATGTCAGCCGATACAGCGGCTGAAATTTTTCGATGATTTTTTTTTTTCAATTTTTTCAATTTCGAGAAATTCTGAAACAACAAAGAGACAAAACGATAGTATCTCTACAAATTGATTTGGAACGTCGGAAATTTTTAAAAATCAAATATCTAGTTTTGTATCGCGGCTTATAGATCTTAAAAAAATTTTCAGCCATTGGTACGGCTGATATATCTTAAAGATTTCGCGACAGTTTAGTCGAGCAGTTTACATCTCTATGTACAGTAAGCTATTAAAGAGTGCTATCCAAAATGATTCTCTTGCTTTTTCTGCAGAGTCATTCATAACTGACAAACTCTTGTCGGTTCTATAAATAAAAATAAAATAAAGACAAAAAAAACAAAACATTTTTTTTTTTGTTCCTCATTCAAATCTTCAAACATAACAAAGGAAAACTAAATAAAAATAAAATTGAACTATTGTTGTTTATTTTCTACTAATCGTTGTCGAACTTTGTTCAGATGAATACGTATTTCATCAATTAATTGTTCTCGTGGAATTAGAAACTAAATATATGAAAATATTTATTATTAGATAAACAAAAAAAACGAAAGTTCAATTAAACAAAAATAATCTAACCTCATTTCGAGTAATAACATCACGAATTTTAATTGTATCAGTTTCTAATTCAGAACTACCAATAATAACACATAATTCAATTTGATTTTTTTCACAATATTGTAATTGATCAAGTAATTTTGGATTACATTTATATGCCATTTCTGTCTATAAAATTTTAAATATTTATTTTCAAAAAAAAAAAAATTTAACATATATAATCAAACTTTAAAACCATTTTTCCATAGATAGGTACATAATTTCATTCGTTCTTCTAAGAAATTCTTTTCAGCTGATGCTACATAAACTTCAGTTTCAATTGTTTTTGATTGAATTTTCGATTGCTATCAATGAAATAATGTTACAGACAAATATGTATTACCTGGAAATCAAAAGTTAGCCACATTATTTTGGGTATATCGTTACTATAACAGCGTATTCTCAAAAGAATAATACTATATTCGAAAAGCGCGTGAAATTCTCTACCACCCTGTATATTTTTATTACAGTTTGCCATCATAGAATATCTAACAAAATTCAGGACAACCTCATGTCCAGATTCCCAAACACTTGATTTTGCCAATGCCATCGAAAATAGTTTTTGAAATTTTTCATCACTATAAAATGATCCTATAAGAAAAGAAAATATATATTCTGATAGAGCGTAAAATTCTCTATCACTCTGTATATTTATCTGTTTTTTCGCATTTGTTCATTGGGGAAATAATTTGACAACAATGACATATTCTCAACTGACAATTTCAAAAAAATCAGCTTTTTCTTCTTTTTCTTCAATGATGGTAGTCACGAAAATGAACTTTCACAATTGTAGCGATGTAGTCTGATAGAGCGTGAGATTCTCTATCACCCTCTGTCTTTTTTTATTTGAACTTATGTGCTAAAAGAATAATTGAAGTGAAGATAAAGACTGTGCTTCAGATAAACTCTGGAAAATTTGACCTGGTTCAACCTTCCTTTGTTTTTATTTCGTGTTGATTAGCCACACAGGAATGACTTTTTGGAAATTTTATCGTATATTTTGATAGTCCTTCGTTTTCTAGATAAGCCTAATATGGTGGAATAAAAAACGGAAGGGATAGTAAAATGGGCGAACTGGTAGAGTTTGTCAGTAGATGGTTTCTGGATATTACTTGAATTGATTTGCATCTCATAAATATGAGGCAGGACATAACAATTACATAGGATGATAGAGAATTTCACGCTCTATCAGAAGATGTATTTGCATCACTAAAAGTTCATAGTTTAACTAACTAAAATTCGAACAAGAAAACTAAAACGAAGCACCAAAAAGTATCGATTTTTTGAAATTATCAGTTGAGAATATATCATTGTTGTCAAATTATTTCCCCAATGAACAAATGCGAAAAAACAGATAAATATACAGAGTGATAGAGAATTTTACGCTCTATCAGAATATATATATTTCCTTTCTTATAGGATCATTTTATAGTGATGAAAAATTTCAAAAACTATTTTGGATGGCACTGGCAAAATCAAGTGTTTGGGAATCTGGACATGAGGTTGTCCTGAATTTTGTTAGATATTCTATGATGGCAAACTGTAATAAAAATATACAGGATGGTAGAGAATTTCACGCGCTTTTCGAATATAGTATTATTCTTTTGAGAATACGCTGTTATAGTAACGATATGCCCAAAATAACGTAGCTAACTTTTGCTTTCCAGGGGTATATATATATGTCTATTAAATTAATTACTGTTAATTGATATTCTTTTATAGTAAATATTCTTTCAACACCAATGCTTACACCAATACAAGGTACGCATCTTTGTTTTGGATCAATTTTTCCTACAAGTTCATCATATCTTCCACCAGCAGCAACACTTCCAACAGCTATTTGATCATCATCTAATTGTGGATTATATTGATATTGTATAAGAACAGCTTCAAATATAACACCTGTATAATAATCTAAACCACGAGCTAATTTTAAATCAAATATAACCTAGAAAGACGTTTTTTTTTTCATTGGTTAAAAATAAATAATACTTGAAAATTGAATATTTTTTTTTTTTTCGTTTTACTTTATCCATAACGTTAAATAATGTTAAATAACGAAACAATAATTCAAGATCATTTAGAGCTTCAATAGATAATTTTTCAGAAGATAATTCTGGATCATTTCGAAGTTGTTCAATTAGATTTACATTGCCTTATAAGAAAAAAATAATGATTAAATTATACAGTACTAATTACAAGTATAAGACCAATATGTTTTTGATTGTATTCAACGATACTAAGCTTTTAACTCAAATCCAAATAGCAATTTGTATAGTCTTTATTTAGGACTTTATTCTCTTTAAGATGACACCCTCCGAACATAACTTTCACATAGTCTTCTTGGAGCTGAAAACTAATGTGTGTGTGGTTTTCGAAAAACTCTCTTCTCATAGTCCATTTATGGAATATATTTAATAGAGAACTTCATTGACTATTTAAACCATTATGCAGATTTGAGTTAAAAGCTTGATACCGTAGAATATGATCAAAAATACATCGGTTTTGTATTTTTGATCAGTACTATAGTAATGAAAAATCATATACCATGCATATGAACATATCGACTAATTTTATCAACTACTTCTGATGATAAACCTTTTTCATTAATCATTTCATTTCGAACAACATCCCAAGAATTCTATAATAATATAAAAGTATAATTTAAAAACAAATAAATAAATTTAAATTACTTTATCAAGTTTATCAATAGTCGAACTTAATGAACGAAAAAGTTTATCTGGTACACCACATACAGTAAAAATAGCATCAAGTAATTTACGATGATTGATCTACAAATAATAAGAACATACATACATATATATATATATATTCTAATTAACTTACATAAATTTTATATTGTCCTAAAGCAAGTTTATCAAGAATTTCTACAATAATTTTAATACATTCAGCTTCCGGTATCATTGGATCATAATTTCCAGCAATATCAAAATCACATTGATAAAATTCTCGATAACGACCACGTGTCATTTTTGGATTATCAAGTCGATAAACTTTTCCTATATGATAACGTTTCATTGTAGAAATTTTATTTTGTGAAAGATAACGTGCAAATGGTACAGTTAAATCATAACGTAAAGCTAATGTTTCTTCATCATCATCTTGATCTTTTAATTCATAGATAAGTTTAGAATCTTCACCATATTTTTCTTTAAGAAGTGTCTAATTAATACAAACGAAAGTAAATGAACATTAAAAAAATAAAATAAAATTTTACAGTTAATTCAATAACTGGTGTATCAATTGTATTAGCACCATGTTGTTTAAAACAATTGATTATTGTTTGAAAAACTTCTTCACGAATTTTCATTTGATTTGGATGATAATCACGAGTACCCTATAGAAAAAAAATATTTATCAATAATTATTGATTTATAATAAAATTTTACTCGTGGTATTTTAAGAATTTTATCATTATTTGTTATATTTTCTTTTCTTTGAATTAATTGATGATTAGTAGATTGTTCTTTTTTTGAATTAAGTAATTTAGTTACAGTATCATTGATCTGAAGAAAAAAAAAGAATATTATTAGTTTTTTTGTTCTGTTCTATTTACTTTTTGATTACCTGACGAGATCTGATACGATAAAAAGCTTTTTGATAGTATAAACAAGTATTTAAAATTAGTCTCATTATTTTTCTTTTTAATGGAACATAAAACAAGAATTACGCTTTTTTTTTTAGTAATATCTGCAATATGAAATGAAATGAAATTTATTATATCATTAATCGAAGAATTTAGTAATGAAAATATTTTTCTTTGAAAAGTTTTTATATAAAATCAATTTTGTATTTATTTGATGAGAGATCAAATGATTATTGTTAATTAATTATACTTTTCATAGATATGAAAAATATTAGTAAAAGATTAATATGTATAGTTAATAAAAAAAAAATGAATGAGCATTGGAATGCTAATTAAACCAACAGAAATTTATATAAGAGAATTCTTTTTTTTTTTGAATTTCATTTGACAGAAAAGAACGAATTTATTATTTTGTTTTTTTCGAGATTTTTGAATTGAGGTTCAGAGTCCGTAATAATGGTTAATGATAACCAATCAAATGAATTTTTGAAGCGACGCGTGTACAACAACACTAATCAATGATGGTCGTAAGAAAGAACAAAAAAAGCGCGTTGCTGCTCATTTTATATTGAAAGAGAAGGTGATAGTACCTTGAAGTTATGCTTGATTGAGTTACTGATCAGTTTGCTTTTATCGTTTTTTTCAATATTGAACTATTTCTTTCAGATTTCTTTATCGTTGTCTTGTTCGTTCGTTCGTTCTCTTATTAGTCATAGAAATATTCATTTGTCCTTGTCTTTACATCTTTGTACGATGCTTGTTTTCTTAATGTATTTCATAATTGAATTATAAAAACCTATATAATTTAAAATGAATATTTAAAATTCGAACAATTATTACTTTCTATTAATGATCATATTTAAAAAGTTTTGAAATTGAATAATGTCAAATCAACATAAATTATCACCTCTAACATCCGAAGAAGATCTATTTAAATTTGATACATTAACATTACAACAACTTGCAACTCATTCAGATCAAACTTTATCAACTATTAATGAAAATACTCCACAAATAACTACAACTGATTCAATATCATTAATGAATATACAAAAAGAATCTCAGGATATAAATGATATAAAATCTGATCGAACATCATCATCATCATTAGAAGATCAAGAAATAAGTGAAAGAAAATTATCTTTATCTGATATAACAAATTCATTACACCGTAAGATATCATTATCAGAATCTGATTTACTTTCATCATTACATCGAAGTATAAATAAACAACAACAACAAACAATAGATAGTCAATCAGATAATGATACAACGGATGATATACTTTTTCTTGAATGGGATAAAGAACGAAATTTATTTCAAGATTATATTAATTCATTACGTAAAGAAATTCGTGTTCTTTTACAAGAACGTTTAGATTATCAAACACAAACATCAATAGAATATAAACATATTAATGATCATCAAATGAAAATTGATTTATTACAAAAATCATTAGAAGAAAAAAATTTTGTTATTGAACAATTACAAATTGAATATGAATTAATGAAAGACAAAAATATAAATTTATCACGTAAAATATCTTTTTTAGAATCTGATACTAAATCACATATTAATATTATTGATGAATTAAAACAAAATCTAACTGATTTAACAGTTGATTTACAAAATCATATACTTATTAAACGACGTTTAGAAATTTCAATTAATAATTTAGAAAGTAATTGTCAACTTCTTGATGCTGAACGTATTAAATTAACAAATGATATTAAAGAAAATCAACATAATAAACAAGATTTAGAAAAATTATTACAAAAAGCTAATGTACAAATTGCTGAACAAGGTAATCTCAACTATTTACGACTAACCAAAAGTTCTAAGAACAATAAATAAAATAATGAAATCAAAGGGATATTTTTAGTTTTATTTTATTAAAAGTTCAAAAGGTGTGGGTGTTAAGTGTCGGTGGGCGTGAATGTGTGTGAAAAATGAACAGTGTTCACACCTACCCGTCTACATCCACACCCTTTGAACTTTTGATAAAATCAAATAAAAATATGAAAAAAGAAAGAGATATTTTTAGTTGTGTTTTATTAAATATTCAAAGTAGTCACTATTATTATTCATAGAGAGTTTCATATTTTCTAATAGTTTGTCGAAAGTTTTTGTAAACTTTTTTTCTGCAATATTTTTCACTATCTTGGAAACCTTCTGAGCTAGCGATTCTTCGTTTGCTCGAATAATCAAATTGCTCTTGATATAATCATTTATTAGGTCGGCACATAAGTTCTGAGCGTTTGGATCAATAAAATTATATCGCCAATATAAAACTACATTTTAAGACAAGTAATTATATATTCTGACAGAGCTCGGAATTCTCTATCACACTGTGTATTTAACTTTTGACTTGCATTTATTTGCTGAAAAACTATTTTGAATACAGTGAAGACACCCTCATTCGTATTGACAATGTTCGAAATATTTTTCAGCAAATAAGTTCAAGTCAGATCTGAATATTCAGGGCAATAGAGCATTTCAAGAGCTCTCACAATATATAATTACTTTTCTAAAAAGTCGGATTACTGTAGATATAAAAATTTTAGAAACACATGAGAAAGAAACAAAAAATGGAGTTCGTAGGAATCTGAGGGTGTCTTCACTGTATTCAAAATAGTTTTTCAGCAAATAAATGCAAGTCAAGAGTTAAATACACAGGATGATAGAGAATTCCGAGCTCTGTCAGAATATATAATTACTTGCCTTAAAATGTAGTTTTATATTGACGATATAATTTTACTGATCCAAACGCTCAGAACTTATGTACCAACCTAATAGATTGAAGCAGTTACTTTATACAGGATTATATGCCGATCTAGATATTTTGTTGAATACGCGATCATCCAAAGATGCAATCAATGTCCACATAAACAGAAAATATTATTAGCTCGCTACCTCCGCTATGAAAATTCACAGATACGGCGTGTGTTGATTTATTAAAAATCAGATATATAGCCATTTTTGGAACTTCTATTATTTTGCAGTCCAGGTAGCCAGCAGAGGAGATTTTTTTGACTTGTTTGGATAATTGTGAACGGTGATGCATGTTGATCCCATGTTTGGTTAGTCGTGAATGATTGCATGGCTTACAAGAGTCCAGGTTTGTTTTACTCAAAGTTCGAAATACGATATTGAGTTCAATTCACCGCTGATTTAAGATTCGAACTTGAGTCCGAGCTCTAGCATAAATCTAAATTCGTGTTAAATTTGAAAAATTTTCCACTTGATGTACGTCAGTCGATTATTAATAAAATTTTAAACAAAATTCAATAAACTTAACGACGAAAAAAAAAACAAAAGGTTATTCGAAATATTTCACGTATGACTAGATAAACTTAATGAATAAAATGTATAATTATAATTTTATTAAATCTTTTATATGAAAATTTTTTTTTTTTTTTGTTGCAATCGAAATTATTTATAATTAACTAATAATTAAAATCTTAGGTTCAACAATTGAAATGCTTCGTTCGGAAAATGTACAAGTACGTTCACAATTATCAACAATTCAACGTCGAATGTTTCAAGAAAAACAACAAATAATGGATTATTTACGTCAAATTGAAGAAGATCTTATTGAAAAAGAACGAATTAAACAACGTGAATTATTATTACGTCAAGATTATGAACAATTACAATTAATTAATAAACAAGATCAATATGATATTCAACAATTAAAAAATTCTATTTATGATTATCAACAAATTTTAGAAAATTTACAACAAGAAAATTTACAATTAATAAAAATAAAAGATGATGAAAATATTCAATTAGAATTAGAATTAAATACTTATAAATCAGAAATAAAACGTTTATATTCACATTTTAATATAAATGTCGATTCAATTGAACAATTAATACCAATTTTAGACGATCGATTATCACAGGTTTCTTATTAAATTATAAAATTTTAAGCGAACACCCATAAGGAGATCGAAACACTGATCAAAATTTTAATTTTCGATTTTTTTATATGCATTCGAAAGGTTATCATTCAAAACTACAAAATCAAAATTTTTATCTCATTTCGATATTCTATAGTAAAGTTAGTCTTGATCGATTTTTCAACATTATCTACCTACGATCAAGAAAATAATGATTAATTGTTATATCGATATCTACGAAGATTAGAGAGCGCCGGGTTCGGAACCAAAGTTTTATTTTTTTGTCGGATCCAGTTACACGTTTCGGCGGTTCCACAGCTAGGGGTGTCAGGGTTCCCGTTCCTCAAGGGTTCCGTTCCCAAGGAACGGGAACCCACTTGGTTATTCATTTCTATGCATGT